TATACATATATATGAATATATATAAATATATGAAAATTGATGTGGGTACTCAAATGAAAGGTCTTGATGAGTGTAACATCGGGATGAGCTTATATCTTTAAAAATATCAATAGTTCACGAGATACAAGGTCATTTCTTAATTTTGTATCTAGAGATGTTATTAATTAGTATTTACAAAAAAATATTTTAAGTAAATTTTGAGATAAAAAATTCATTTTTAATTTTAAATTATTCCAAGATTAATTTGATAGTTTATTTAATCATTTGAAATTACAATTTACCTTTATGAAAATTGTTTTTTTAAATCAATTTTCATACATTATATAAATTTAAAAAAAATCATTTTATAATTTTAAAAAACAATTTATAATTCTCAAAACTATGAATATCAAAAAGTAATTAATTTATAATATTATTAATGAACATAGAATAGTAAGTAACAAAATTTATTATTCACTAAAATGAGCGTAAACTTGAATATTAAACTTAACTTGTTGAATATTCAAACATTAAAATAGAATTTCTGATCTATGACAAATAATCCCATAAAAAGTAATGACTAACATTAAAACAATTCTTTTAGAGTTATACGATGACTTGATAGCACCAGAGTTAAAATCGGATTTATTAGCAGAGACATGGCTGAATGGACGCGGAAAACTACCTTCTGAATGCAGTGGATCCAAGTAATAATAACAATTATTATTATCGGGATTGTTATTGAAATGTCATGGCTTTGTTACAGTAATTAATCCTGGACAATATTTACTTTTTCACTTCAGGGTACAGAACGTCCAATCGATAGTATTAAATGCAGCGAATGTAGACTTCAAAAGCTCACGGGATCATTCCAAATGGGCTGTAACGCAGACCAACAAAAAGAATCGTAATTGGGTTTGCATTGGTGACATCAATAGAGCGGTAAATTATTGTTGGATTGTTGCTAATCGCTATCAATATACACAAGTTGAAACAATATTAAAAAAAAAATATATAATTAAATTGTTACTACGGATCAATTATTCTTGTTACAGAACACTCAATTCAATCGAGGCGGTGGTGCGGTTTGCGTTAATTTGCCGCAGCTGTGGACTAATTATCGCGGCAGTGTTAACGAGGTAGAGCCGTGCCCGAAAAAGAAAAAAGGATTTTTTGGTGGAGTTAAAGACTTTATTTTTTCATGGTTCAGTTGAAAATCAAATTAATTGAATAAATATTTCAGCTGTAAAAATAGTGATTATAAACTATCAGTTATATACTATCAATAATCAATTACTAAAAATTTTTTTCTTGTCTTGTTTTTAAAATTTTTTAAATTATCTTCTCTTTACAGATGCTATATATTTTATATAATCATTACTAAACATTCTTTACATGAAAATCTAACATACGCGTTATAGATGCCATAAAAATTCTATTTTTTTTCTAAGTCCAAAAAAAATTTTTAGTTTGGAGAAATAGTTTTTTTTTTTTGCATTTCTGCACGTTTTATTCAAAAATACTTCGGTTCCCAAAAAAAAATTTTTTTCATACGCCCTTATGGCTTCTGGGAACCTCGGATGCCATAAGGGGCGTATAAAAAAAAATTTTTTTTTAGGAACCGAAGTATTTTTTCATAAAATGTGAAGAAATGCAAAAAAAAAAATTTTTCCATACTAAAAATTTTTTTGGACTTGGAAAAAAAAAATAAAATTTTTATTATACGTATAAAATTTTTTTCTTGCATTTCGAGGGTTTTCTAATGCAACCACGTGTCTCTTCAACTGAAAAATTAATAATTAATTATAAAGGTGTTACTGAAAAAAAATATTAACCAGATTAATAATAACTACGAAAGTATTTTTAGAAAATACAATTGATAAATATCATTTTTATACTGAGAAAAAAAAAATACTTTTATTAAGAAAATTTTCTTGATACAAGAATTTATGTTCTTGAAAATTTTCTTAGCTCAAGAAATTGTTAAATTGATTGAAATAATTTTTACTTAATTTAAATAAAGCTATTCTTGTGTTTATATATTATCCAAAGATAAATATTGATGTTCTTCTCTTCAGAAATTAATAATTAATAATAATAGAAAATATTTTATCCTCAGCGAGTTTCTTGAACCAAGAAATTGTTAATTGAGTAAAAGTATTTTTTTTTCTCAGTGTAGATGAATATTAATTTTTTATAAGCTATTTTTCACCTCCTCTTTAAAATTGTCATTTTTGAGATACGAAGTTGCATCGAAAACTACATCGATTCTCTAAAAAAAAATTTTTTATACGCCCTTATGGCATCTGTAACGCGATATTGTTGTAAATTACCGAGGGTATTTCTTCACAAATAAATAAATAAATAAATTGTGGCAATATTTTATTTTATTTATATTCAAATTCTTATATAAGGTATAAGAAATACTATTTTAATAATAACTAATAACATAATAATAATAATAATAATAATAATAATAATAATAGTGATAATAATAATCATAATAACATTAATAATAATTGTTTTCATTATTATCATTATCAGTGTGGCAATAATATAATATAATACAAATACAGTATGATTGAAATTTTATATTTATTGAGATAAAAATTGGTAGGGAAGAAAAAACTGGAACGCAATGTATAATATTTAACTGATTCACTTTTTTTTTGTTTTTTTTTTTTTTTTTTTTTTTTTATCATTTTCTGTTATGTTATTTTTGTTTCTCTTTATACTTCATATGTTGACATCAACCAATTTTATCGAGTAGCGTTTGTCATATGTATTTTGTAGTAGTATTAGTATCAGTATAGTAGGAAGACTGCAACACCGTTGTTTGGCATTTATGTCTATTGCATTTTAGCTGTCGCAAGTACTAGCACTATTACCAGTACGAACCGTCAAATAATAATCTGTACGGATGGGCACTTGACGGTTTATGACATAATCAATATACGCTTTATGATATTACAGGCGAGTCCAAAATAATTATTATGATTATAATAATAGTTATGATCAATAATTATAAATATCTTGTGACGCGAGACATTTTCTCCTTACATATATATATAAAGATTGATTATCATTTTTAAATTACAGATCTATCCTATTTAGCATCATATATTTACATCCAAATTTTTATTCTTAAATAAATTTTAAAATTATTTTTTTTTTTTAGCTTTTCTCTCTTTTTTTAAATATTTTTTATAAACACGAGGAGTTGTGACGCAACATTAATAAAATTGGTAATAAAATCAATAAATAAACATATCTACATATTTATACACAAATATATAGATATGTATTATTTAATGAGTGAATGATGAAAATTGTTAACCATTAATATGTTTGTTTTAATTTTTTTATTTTATAGATGAGTTTGTTTGTTTGTTTGCTGCGGTGCCGCATAAATTCGTTTGGCTTGATTCGTGAAATTATTTAATTTGTAAATAAATAAATAAATATATATTTATTTATTCACCATATTAATGGGTTTATTCGATCAATTGATACATCTAAACATTTAAATCACTTTGACTAGCTTCAAATATTAATTCCATGTATTCGTTATTTTATTATTTATTTTTGTTTTGTTATCCGTCAACTTTGATAATTCCTTTCTACTCCGTTTTAAAAGCATTCATAATATGTAGATATAGACAGACAGACTCACTCACATATCCCATTGATACAATTTCACATTGATAAAATCCGATTGTTTTCTATCTAGATTATGAACAATTTAACTGATGAGTTTGAATTGTTTGTTATTGAACAAAACGCTTCTGTTAATGTGTACGTGATTCATTGAACAAAATCTTACGCTCCCAACTGTAATTAATTTATTTTTTATTCGACTTTTTTATCGTGTTTTGTAACTGCCGTGTTTTTCGGATATTTTCACACTTTTAATATTTCAATTCATTCCTTTGCTCTCTCTCTCTCTCTCTCGTTCTTTATAGCGCGTTCCAGATACTATAAGGACGTATAAAAAAAATTCTATTTTTTTTTCCAAGTCCAAAATAATTTTTAGTATGAAGAAAAATTTTTTTTTGCATTTCTGCACATTTCATGAAAAAATACGTCGGTTTCCAAAAAAAAAATTTTTTACACGGAAAGAACAAGATGACACTGGATATCATCCGAGATTATACTGAGTGAAAAAAATTTCAGATAGTAGCTAGTATAATTCAGATTACAATGAGTATGATCCAAATTATCTGGATTTTTCTAGCTACTATCTTAAATTTTTTTTCACCACAGATATCACTGAGTATAATCTGGGATGTATGACCAAGGTCTTACTTTTTGTATTTGAGTATTTTGGTTTATTTTTATTAATTAGTTAAAAATTAATATAAACAATTATTATGATTATTGCGGCGATTTATTATTTATTTATGTTACTAAATTTTTGATTAAATTAGAAAGTTGGAAGAGTGTGAGAAATTATTTTTCTTCATACTAAAAATTTTTTTTGGACAGAAAAAAAATAGGATTTTTATTATACACCCTTATAGGCATTTGTAACGCGATATTTTATTATTAAATCTAGATTTCTCTGTAATAATATTGATTTATTATTACGATTATTTTTTATTTATTAAACTAGTGTAATATAAATTATAAATTTATTATTATACAATTCAAGTCTCATCGTCCCTTATATATATATAATAAATAAATCGTATGGTAGTTTTCTATGATACACGTACATTAAATTAGTGCTTTATTTCGTACATTAGATAAATTACGAGTGTGAAACGTGCTTACAATAAATTTTAAATCCATTTCTTCACTGATTTTATTTTACGATGCTGAACTATCAATGTACAAACAGAGCTCTTGGCATCGTGCAAGGCTCTTATAAAAAACATAAATAACGTGGCAGTAGAATAATATTTACTTTTAATTATAAACTTTTTTTTATTATTTTTATCTGCAAATCGATAAAATATTGTCGCCGTGAATCGACACGTTCAGGAATTAATTTACGTTACTATTATTATTATTATTAATTTAATTTAATTTTTTTTCTTCACAATTACGTTCACCACACTTTTATTTTTTTTTTTTGTTCTAATTATGTATTTTTATTTGTTAATGACGTCGTTGTATTGTGAAAGGCAGTCGACACATGATTGAATCACATAATAAAAAACCCTTGCCAATTGTTGGGGGCGTGAGAAATTTCATTGACGAGTGAGTCATCCACTCAATTATTTTCATCAGTGCTAATTAATTTATAAATTTTATTGCAAAGATAGCTATATCGTTATAAATTCCGTAATTGATGAGTACAGGTGCACTCAGACCAATTAAGTAAAATATTATCAATCGGCATCATAAATCATAATTATCATCATTATTATAATATAAATTTATGTATTGACAAGACTACCGCAATTATCACTATTATTTATTCAGTATCATCATTTTACGGTAATAGCTACGACAACTAATAATAATAATAATAATAATTACTAGTATTTATAATGATCAAGGTCAAAGCGGTAATGTAGTTTGCTTATACCGACAATACAGTGCACCTAATATCATCAGCATACATAATATTCACTCGTCAATTAACACACAAATGGAGATTAATGACACTGTTAGAATTAAGAAATGGATAAATTCATCAGGGGCAACCTTTTTTTTTTTCTCAAATTATTTCCTTTCTTCTTTTTTATTTTATTTCTTCATCAGATAAATGCTGCTATTAAAGTTTTCTTCTCTGGCTGATGGCAACGGCAATCAATCGATTATCCTGTCACAGTCCTTGTACTCATTCTTAAAGGGGGTAGACATTATAGTTTGTTATTTGCGAATTCAGGCATTTCTTGGTCCCGAACACGAGCCGGTAATCGTGTTTAAATAATTAATAGTGCAATTCACACTTTCCTGCTTACCCTCGTTATTTATTTTTTTTTCTTTCTATTCCTTACAATTATAAATAATAATTATTTTTTATTCTCAAGCGTCCAATAAATTATCACTTCTAATCTTAATTATTATTCGTGCAAATTTTATTTTGGCAGTATATCTATTTACAGTGCATAAAAATTAATTCAAGTCTACCGTAAAATATTATTGTATTTTGATAAAACAATAATAATAATTTTATAGATATTTTCTGACGTAAGTCATTGAAATTTTCAGTTTATTGGCTATCAAGTCTAATACAAAAATTTTTTCTCTAATTTTTCATAATATTGTTAGCCCTCCAGGCATAAACAATTTATTGTCAATTCATATTTAAATTTGACAAGAGGTCAAGGAAAAAAATCCAAATTAACATCATACTATATTAAAATTTTAATTCATGGTTGAGTTTGTCATTAATAGGTGACTGAATAGTAATTCTGAATTTTAATTATAATATTTTTCCACACTAAATTAACAAACCAAGAATTAAAACTTTAAACAAAAAAAAAAAAAAAGAAATAATAATTTTGGACAATGTCTTGGATAGCTCAACAGGTAGAGCCTTTGATGCGTAACCACAAGATTCAGGTTCGAGTCCTGGTCTGGGCCGTCAGAATTATTTTTTCAGTAAAATTTATCTTTAATAACAATAAAAGGTTGTTTAAGATCCGTGATTTATTTGATGTCTAAACTGTATCAAATTCCGCAACGTTATCGTTAATAATCTCAACTTCGTAAAGCGTCTATAAATCAACAACCATCATTAAATAAGCAATTATAAAATACAAATTTTTTTTTTAGGTCTTAAAATCTTAATATCTAAATTTTTAAATACACCACAAAAAAGTTTTTAATAAATAATTTTTATAAATAAATAAATGTACCTTTGAATAGTTTTATCTTTAATGAAAAATTTAGATATGAATTGAGAATAAATTGTTTATGCCTGGAGGGAAATACAGGCTTACAATATCATAAAAAAAAACTGAAAATTTCAATGACTTATATCAGAAAATATCTATAAAAGTATTAGCAGTCTTTAGAAAAAAAAAAAAATAATAATAATAATAATAATACCTACTATTATCATCGTTATTATGATTATTTAAATGAAGAATATAAATATTAAATATTTACAAAAAAAGCACTAGCATACTATTAAAATATCTGCTACTATGCTGGGCATTAAATCCCGGATTGTTCGACTCATTTATAGCTCCATTAGCGTCGTTATTATCAACCGCTTGGACGTGTTCAACAATTGGCGATAGTCTATCAACGGGTTCGAATTCGCGATTATTAATCGGCGCACTTGAATCATCATTAGTGTCATCAGAGTCGCCGTCAAAAGACTTATCATTAACGTGGATTTTAACAACCGCGTCAACGGGATAGGCACCACCGGCTTCACTGGATGACGAGGGTTGAGTTCCTGATCCATTTTGCCCAGGACTCTCGGTGGTTTCAGTAGTGCTGGGTTCTTCGCACTTGGAACACAGGACAATCCCTTCTTCCTCAGTAGTGCGATCATCTGCATCATCTTGATAGCCGAAGCAGATTAAATCCGGCTGCTCGTCGTGAGTCATAGTATCACAGTGTATGCAGCGATCGTCGGTGGAAATCTGCTGGGCGGCGTAGCACTCTTGGCACCTCAGAGCACGTTCCTCCTCGAGGTACCTCCCGGTTTTATTGACCGATTTACGTGGACGGTAGGAGCAGTCCCGTGACTCCATGTCGCACTGCATGCAGAGAAGTAAATTAGATTTGCTTCCAGGATGGGAGTTGTAGCCATTACAAGTGCCCAATTGACGATGCGGATCATTTTCATTGTCGTCGCTCTCGCTGTCGAATAAACGCTGACTGGGACTGCCTATTGATAATCCACCACAGGGTGTCGTCGGAGCGGTCATTGTACCTTCCATGTATCGCCTGATGTGCTCCATTTTAGTATCGCCGCGTTCTTTACGCGGCCAGATTTCTCGTTAAATGATGCTCTCGCGATTACGCTCCGTGTCCTCGATACTCGAGGTCGAACTTGCTCCGCATATCTGCATCTCTATTTCCGCTAATCTGTGCTCCACTGCCCACTGCTGTTGATTTAACTTGTCGCTCATCGCTGCGTTCTCCGTTTCCAAGCATATCAAACGCTCTCTCAGCCGTTTTATCTCAGCAAGTAACGCCTCGTGACTGCTAACACCCAGCAGCGGTGTCGTTGCACCCTCTGACATTAATTGTGTCATACTATTGCAAGTCATACCTATTTTTTTAAAAATATACAAATATATATTCAGAGAATGCTTGGGAACTTTTACAATTGATTCTAAATTTTTTTGATGATTCATTCATATCAAATTTTTTGCCAAGCGTCGTACTTGGAACTTTTTAAAAAGTTTCAGATATTATTATTCGGTTCAATTTTTTTTTTTTTTTTTATCGAGTTTGCACTTTTTATGACTAAAACTCTATTAAAATTCTTATTTGTTTATTATTGTAGAATTCAAATTGGCAATCCGACGCTAAATGGAAATTGTTTGCATAATAAAATAAGATTGACATCTGGAGTTAATTTTTTATGATACTAAAGTTAGCCGACGTTTTTAATTTTTTTTTTTTAATAATTAAATTAAAACAAAAAAATATTTTTTAAAAAATTGCACTTGCAGTTTTTCAAGTTTTTAACAAATGACAATTTTTTTTCTAGTCATTTTTTCAATAAAAAAATTCTTTTTTAATTTTTAAATGTCGGCTAACTTAATTTTCATAACTTTTTACAATAAAATAGAATGTATAACGCGAAATTTTTTAAATAAAATTATTTTACTGTGGCTTATATTTTAAGGGGCACTATTAGTGTTAAATTAAAAAAAAAAAAATCTTTTTTTTTAATTTTATATAAATTTATATTTCTAAAATTTTAACTATATATCTTAAATAGTTTTTGAATTTTATAAAATTTACTGCAGATAATTTAATTACAAATCATCCAATCGGATCATTTAAAAATATTATTTAATTTATAAAAAATTTTAATTCTTACGTGCCTAAAGTCACAATTTTTATTTTTTCACTGCAACAGTCGGGTATATTGAAAATTTTTATTCAAAAAAAGTATAGCCTGAAAATTTAGCTGCAATAATTTTCTTATAAAAAATTACTTTTTTATTTTTAAACAGTCACACTAGTAATGCCCCTCTTACATATAGCACAATAGCTACACAGAAAGAAAAATTTCTTGACTGGAGAACAAAATTTTTGACTCAAGAAAATTTTCGGACACCTGAAGGAAGACCGAAGTTGTGTTTTGGCCGAGGTAAAAATTTTTCTTTAAATTCTATTCTTGGTGAAAGTAATTTTTTCTTAATTCAAATTATTATAAATACTTGATACAATAAATTTTAATCATTTGATCAAGATGTTTAGATACTTTAGGGAAGCAGCGCCACCTACTTCAGCTGAGAAAAAAATTTTCTCACCTTGAGAAAATATTTCTCGAGAATATTTGATACCCATTTTATATTATTTTATGCAATTATACATATTGAATAAAAAAAAATGATGAAATATTATTTGATTTTCCCATTTGACATGTTAATCAATAAAAATATTAATGAAAATTTACTTCTATCTTTATATTTAATTTTTTGGAATAAGATATGTATTTCTTAAAGCAAGAGAATTAATTTTGTTGGAATAAGTGAACTTTCTTGTCAAAAAAAATTTTTTTTTACTCAAGAAAATAATTAGGAAGAAAATATTTTCTTGGCTCAGAACCTTTATTTCTGTGTAGCTTTTGGAGTGTATACTTTTGAGGTAACCAACTTTAGTCATTACTACCCCGCGACTGACTCAATAAAATATTAATGAATCATAAGTAAAAGATGAATAGCGAGAGGGAAAAAAAGGGTATATTTAAATTTTATTTTTATTTTTTGGTAAACTGCTGACGCACTCACCAGAATGGGTCGATTGCCGGCCTATCGACGGCTGCGTCGTCGTTGAGTGTGGAACTCGTGCAGTTTGGTCTTCACTACTGCGAGCACTACTAGTGGCACTCATTGGACTATCAGCAGCAGCCCGTGTTCTATCCACCGCAGCGGCTGTTCCAATAGTATTTGTATCAACAGCTGTATCAACTCCAGCACGTAAGCCGTGAAGAGATGAAGCAGTGATAGGACTCGGACTAGGTGAAAATAGCGACCGTGGAGTACGTAACTCATTGGGTGCTAACCACATTTCTTCGAGGGTGATCCGTCCTTCGGACTCGACCAACCCCGGAGTACTTTGGCTTCTTCCCATCGCCGCTGCACAGTAATTCAAAAAAGAGTTATCTGCTAATAAAAGTGTGATTAATTTATGGTGCAGAGCAAATGTTTACTGAAGGTTAAAGTTAAATTTATTTAATACAATACCTTTTTCAAGTGGCGCTCGCTTGTATTTTTCAAGCCTTTTTACCGCAATAGCCTCAAGCCGCACCCTCGCTGCTGGATACTCCTTCAACACGTCCCACATGTCTTTCTTGTTCAGTACAAAGAGGTCGGAATAACCGACAGACCTTACACTGGCTGTTCGTCGATTACCTGCGATAATGTAGCCATTTATCGGTTATCGGGGGATGTTCATCAAGCTTATAACATATCACGAGCATTCTAATATTTATAACAATAATATTAATAAGAATTTTAATACTAAGTAATTAATTTTTGCTTTTGCCTCTTTTTTATATTTTATACGCTCATCATTAAAATTTAAATCATTTTTTTTTAATTAAAAAAAATTTTTTAAACGTCTTAATACCTAAAGATAAATAATACAAATTTTTAATGGCATTAAAGTTGATAATTTTTTTATTTTATTTAAAAAATAAATCTTTTTTGAAAAATTATTTTTAAAAAATTGCATTTAAAATTTTTACATGTCAATTTTTTTTCTTTTTTTTTTTTTTACTATAATTTATTTGTAAAAAAAATTATTAAATAACTGTTAAATTAATTCTCATAAATTTTTATGCTGGAATTTACATAAAATTTTACTGAACTTTAAAAAATGGGTCGAATTGTTCTATTAGTTAAAAAAAATTGTTAATGTTTGAAATATTTTTTCATTTTTATAAAAATCAAAATTTTGCAATTTTTTTTTTAGATAACTTAAAAATTAAAATTATTAACTAAATTCTTTGAATTTTATATTAAAATTAATGTACTTTCTTCAATTTACATTATATTAATTTCTTTTCTCAATTTTTTGACTGTATTTAAAATCAGTGAAAATATAAAAAATAATTATTTTTTTTTATCTCTAAATAACTCATTAAATAAATTATAATTCTCACTGAATGTATAATTTTTAATTTTATAAATTTTAAGAACACTAAAGTTAGTTTCAAAAATAGAAAAATCTACCTGATATTTTTTATTTTTACTTATAATTTTGTTAACCAATAGATAAATTTATTCTTAATCCATAAAACGTCTTTACCAATAATAATTCTTTTCAAATACCAAAGATGTGATTTTATTCCCAATAATAAGCATTTAATATATTCAAAAGTCTTTAAATATATATATGAAAACTTTATCCCAAGTACACTAGCATACTACTAAGTAGGACTTATGTTTACGTACTCTACTTGCAAGTACGGTACCTTTGCTCCGTAGAATAAGCGGAGCCAAAACGACGTAATGTAATGTCTAATGTGCTAGGTGCATTAATCCGACAGTAAGCGGCGGATAGTTCATATGCAACTGTTTGTAAGATTTGCTGTTGTTTTAATCTTCAAGTGGTTCAAAAACACAAATATGTTAATTTTAATTCTACAAAGTTGAGAACTGTTAGTAAAGATTTAAATTTTCGTTTTACGGCTTTACTTTTGAGCATTATAATACGCACTTGGATTTTATATTTTTGTAAAGTAATTTATACTTTTAATTAATTTTATGGCAAAAATTAAAAAAATTATATATTTAGACGGTTCAATCTAAAATATTACTCAAATTTTGTAAATAAATTGTCTTTAAATTTAATTTATTGATTCATCAATAATTAGATACTGGCAACGCGCAAAAACAATATAAGGTACACTCAAAAGATCTAGGTTCGAATCTCGGCGGTATTAAAATTTATAAAATTAATTTTGAATAATTTTTTTAATATTGTAATTCATAAATTAATAAATTTGTTAAATAATATCATAAAAATCACGGAAAGTAAATTTATTTTCAAGCTAATAATTTTTAAAAGACGCTTTTAATTATTTTAATATCAAAAATTTTGCGGGGTTGCAAGTTAATGCCCAAAAAATGAAAACTAAAATCTGTTAGTTGTTACAGAAAATAAATTTGAGCTACAAGATAAGATTGTAAGCTTTAAAAGTCTTTTTTTTTTATCATTTAATTAAACGGCTATAAATTGGTGGTATTTTAAAATAAAATAGATATATCATTTTTTTTTTTTTACACAAATCACATATTGAAGAGAATTTCAATTTATCTTTGAATCAGTATAAATTGTATTTATAAAAAAAAAAAAAAGGCATTACTGCTATTTAATTAAAACGGATTTACAAAGATTACATTTTTTGAGCTTAAAAATTTATTTATACTTCAGAATGTTTCTGACGGAAATGTAAGTGATTTTGCTTTCATAAAAAATCAAATGGAGAATATTTTTATATCTCTTGAGTATAAAAAAAGACAAACATTCAATAACTGTAAAAAACAAAGCTTTTAATAAAGGAAGTTCTATTTCGACGGTAGGAATTATATTCTCAGAATAGAGATGTATACAAGTATGTTTTTAAAATAATATTTCGACGTAGAAACTTTTCCGAATAAATTTAAATATTAAAATAACTAAAAGCATCTTGTATTATACTAGACTTAAACTTTAAAAATACCTATTTTAACTTCATGCCAAAGTTACTGTATCATGGCTCAAAGAATGATCCTTTAGAAATTTATTGATGAGCGTATAATATATCAATAATAATTATATTGACGGCAGAAGAACATATATGTCGATATTATCGGACACAAGCAAGAAAATGAGGATGCTTTTGAGATAATTTATAGAGTAGACATTATATAGATATAGATGTAAAAATATACAATAGAGTCATGATATTTTCTCTACTAATATTTTTTTCTACATGAATAAGTGTTTGCCCGGAGGATTTTAATTTAAGTCTCTACTGATTTTTAAAATCAACCAAAAATTTTGAAACAAAAAAAAATTTCTATATAAATATTTTTGGAAGATTTTTAAACCCTAATTTTATTTTTTGTATCATTATTACTTCTCAAGTGATATAATTAATTACTATGATCAATTAAAATTTTTTTTTATCATTAATTTAAATCAGGATATCGTAGACCAAAATTTTTTATATTTAGAGTATCTTCTTTTCCCTTAGAGTATCTTTTTTTTTTTTTTTTGAAACTGTACCATGTAAAAGCAAGAAATAAAAGGCTTTTTATTTTTATTTATTTATTTATATATCATCTTCTTTTATATTTAGTATCTTCCAAAGAGCCAGGACTGAAACCTCGTATTTATTTGAAGATTATTGTTGACAATTAGTTACTTGTCAATATTAACTAGAAAATAATAGAAGAAAATTTTTTTTTAAAACATATTGTTGACGAGGTTTTTAATATATTTAATTGAATATAGTTCATTTTATTTATTACGGACTCTAAATATAAAAATAAAAAAATTTTTTTGTGTATTAAAAATGTCATGCGCAGTAATTTTTTGTAAATTAAGGACTGAGTTTTTATATTGGAAAATTTTGAGATAAAAAATTAATTAAATAAAAAATATAACATCATTTTGGTCTACAATATCCTGATTTAAATTAATTATAGAAGAATTTAAACCTGATTAGAGGGAGAATTTTTTTTCATCTATATTTTGGAAGATAAAAAAAAATTATACTCCAGAATAAAAAATTAATAATTTTTTTCTATGGCCATAAAATAGCTGATAAAATTTTAATAGCAAACATTTGTTCATGTAAAAATACCACAGTCTTAATATAGATATATTTGTTACTAAATATAGACATATTGTATACATAAACAATGTATATGCAAATGGACGTTACGGAAATGAACTTCTTGACATAGAAATGTCGATACTCTTGAAAATTAAACACTTTGAATGGCAGACACGAGGTAGTATCTCGCATCACCGCTCATCAGATCCTCACCTTGCTTGGAATAATCCCGATCAGTTATCGATATACCATGTCCAGCCAGCGTAAGCCAGAATATGGAACATCGATTACAATATTGTTATTATAGACGTATATTTTAAATTATTTTTCCGCAGCGTCAATATTACTTTTTCATTAGCTCTCTATAAAATAATTGAAATGCCCAACTCTACTCATAGCAAATGCATCATATAATGTATAAAAATGTATATACATTTATATATCTGCGTCAATATATAAACATATATACTTCAGACTCTACATCATACGTACGATATATAAAAATAAAATATAACTACAAAGATAAATGTACAAAAAAAGCTTTCTCTTGTGTATATGTACATATATAATGTATACTTGTATCATTAAGTTGCACATACAAATTTTTAATAATTAAAAATACAAATATATCTACTTATTTATCATTTTAAAATACTACGTACAGTAGAGTTAAATATGTAAGACAAAATATGTGAGCCAAAGTATAATAGAGTGTGGTGCAAATCAATTTTAATTTAATAAAATAAATTATTTAACCGCAGGCATTTAATTAATTAATTTTTATTATTATAAATATAAATATAATAATTATAAATGCCTTTGGTAAATTTGTAAAAAGTATTTATAGTATAAAAAATAGCGTGTTTTAATTTGTTCGAGAGTATAATATGCATAGCTTTAATTATAAGTAGAACAGGGGAAGTAAAAAAATATATTTGCGGTATAAGTTGATCAAGACAAACTGCCTATCTTGTTAATTATAATTATATTGCATTATTATTATTATTATTATTATTATTATTATTTTTTTTTTTTTTTTTTTTTTTTAAGAGGTATACTACACTATGAATACCGCGACAATAAAAAATTTCTCATTAGTTTATTTTAATTATATACTAATATATATAAAAAAAAAAAAAAAAATGTTTTATACTTTAGCTGGTATTTGCTCTTATGGAAACTGTTATATTACGCGTAATTGGAAAGTTAAAAATAATGCCAAGTTCACTCGAGACAGTTTGTCATGATCGATTAATTAAACTACAACCGAGAGAGCGAGATGAAAAATAAGGCGAATGAATAAATGTAAGGAAGGAACATTAATGGTGTACTTAATGTTTTGATAAACTATTTTTAAAAATTTTTTTGACAAGGTTAATAGCCAAGGAGCAATCGGTGTACAAGTACACTCAGTGAACGTAATTAAGAGTAAGTAAGGTTGAACCAAACGTCGATTATAGAAAATATATGTATAATAATAAACTACCAGACAAGAGTATTTGAATATACTGAGTAATGAGTATCCTGGTGATACATTGAAGTAGAGAAGAGTAAGTATCATTAATGATCGGCTCATACCCGGTTTCTCGACGTCTTGCTCAACGACGAGAGGGATAATATTAGTTGGTGGATATTTATGGTTAATAATAATATGACTGATCTGATCACTAATGAAAACACGAGGGGGACAGCGCTCGTGGCTTTGACAAGGCCCCCTTGGCTGCTTGGAATATTTACCGCACTCTTTACCTGCAGTCCCCATATTGAGAATGCTGATTTCCCCGAAGTATGAGCCGGCTTTTAGTGTTGCCAGCACAGTCTTCCCGTTGTCTGCTACCACTTGCAGTCGTCCGCGATTTACTATGTACATTTCCTTGCCTACCTCACCTGCAACAAACGATTTATAAAATGTACTTAAAAATTCTATTTGGATAACTAATTTTTAATAAACTAATTTTTATAAAATATACAAATTAGTTTGTAGAAAACATTTCAATTTCAAAAAGCAATTCACTTGATATTAAAAAAATCAAAAGTACAAGTAGGTCAAGTCGCTTTTAAATACAAGACTGTCAATTTTATGATTTAATTATTAATCACACCGTAAAAATATTTCTTTTGGAAAAAATAATTTTCTTAAGCTAATAAATTATTCGTTTCATAAATTTAAACGACATATACTTGATTTATTCATGTCTATAAATAATAAATTACCTGTTTATAAATTTTCCAATTTTAAACTTTAAATTATTAATTTCTTCTTAATAAATAATAAATAAATTACTAAAAAATGTTTTTATTTTAAAAACAAAAAAATAACCTGGGTTCTTTATTTGCTAAAATACTTTTCTCTTCGGTAAAGTAATTCACTCAGATAATTATAAAACATTTTATCATGACGAGAAAAATTTATCTCTGTAACCATATCTACATTTAATATGGAATAAAATTTTAATTACTATAAATATTTATAGATAAAAATTTTAATTTACCTTTTCGACATATATAATCTCCCGGTGAAAATAGAACAGGTCTTAATCTAAGCACTAACTCACACAGAAAGCCAGCCTCTGTATTTTGAAATATTTCAACCCTCCTGAGCGTATCTAGGTGAACATTTATCGCTATTTCCGCCTTTAGTTTATCTGAAAATCACCAACATTCAAAGTTTACTTATTACATTATACTATAAATTATACATAACATGTTGTATATATTCTGCCAAAAGCAATTAATGATTAGCACGAAGCGTTAGATATCGAGGATTAGAGTTACTCGATTAGTTTCTCGTATCTATTATACTATATACCATATATAAATATATCTACATAAATACACATATCTATAAATGCACAAATTTATACAGATATAGGTATAGTAATTTAAATACACAAGTTTACTGTGTTTCTAGGTAGTCTTACGGCTAAGCAAAATTATTCTCACAGCACCACAAAGTTGTGACTACTCAGTTAAACTATTAATTTTGTCGATGGAGTTTGTGGTGATGCATTTGAAGTGTAGATCTACAGCTGGTATACATCAGTAACATTGATTCAAAACACACCGATGTATATAAAGGCACAAGACATCGACACTATCGCACACTTTAAGTAACTATCTAAGTGCTTAGTTAAGTGTCGGTTTGATTAACTTACCAGGCAGACAACTCACGGTCCTCTCCTCGTTTGAACACTTTTGCGTCAGCCATAAATAGTCAAACCATTTTATCACTTTGATTTGCAGATGATTTGGCACCCGGCGCATCCGCATGTAAGTCTTAACTCCATCCAATTTTGCTAAAACATTTTAATTCACTGTTAAAACTTCAATCTTCTCAATGAAGTAAGTCACAAGATAAAATTTGGATTAAGGAAGTACCTGATCACTGAATATTACTTATTATTGGCTAACTTTAAAATTATTACTCAGTGTATATTGGATATACATTATACAAGTTGAAAATATATGAAAATTAAATTAGCCAATTAAAAATTTTTAGAATTTTTTTTTTTTTTATTAATAAAATGATTACAAAAAAATAAAAAAATAATTTTCACTTGTAAAAAACTTCAAAAACTGTAAGTGCAAATTAAAAAAAAAATTTTTTTTGTTCTAATTTAATTATTAAAGAAAAATCAAAAAATTTAAAACGTCGGCTAACTTTAGTATTATTGAAAATATTCATGAATCAAATATAAAGTGATCGATGCATCAATATTTTTAAATATGCGGAATTTTTCATTAAAATTTTTTTCATAACAATTTTATTGCTATAGAATTATAAAACAACTTTTTATTGTCTGTCAGCGTCAGTTATTTTCAAAGCTTATATTATAATATTGAAGTTAGCTGACAGCTGTCAATTTTATAAACTTTTAGAAAAAATCAATTACAAAAAAAAAAAAACATTAAAATTAATTTAGCAGATATTTGATAATTTTAAGAATTTTTTTAACAAATCAATTATGGTAAAAAAAGATAATACTAAAGTTAGCCGACGTTTTTAATTTTTTAAATTTATTAAATTAGAACTTAAAAATATTTAAAAAAAATTGCACTTATAGTTTTTCAAATTTTCTACAAATGAAAATTTTTTTGTAATAATTTTTTCAATAAAAAAAATTCTAAAAATTTTTAGATGTTGGCTAACTTTATTTTCATAAAAAAAATTGACATAGAAATTTAAAAAAATAAAAAATGCAATTTTTTAAAAATAATTTTTTTGAAAAAATTTATTTGTTAAAAAACGATTAAGTGGCTACTAACTTTAATGTCATAAAAAAACTGCTTTAAAAAATTTTTTTCTAATTTTCACCTGGTGTAATTTTTTTTATAGTCATTTAATAGCAAATTTATAAAAAATTTCAAATTTTAAGAATCTGAATTGATGCGTAAAATGTCCATCAGGCGGACTTAAAAAACTGACAGTGAAGAGATAAGAAGTAAAGTAAAATCTCGTTCCCGTTTATTTGGACTTTAAGAAGACTTAAAATTTATCGTAAGAACATATAATCCATTTTTCCTCAGAATTTAGATTTATATAATAATAGTCTAGTTTATTCTGTAATTTTTAAGACGTTATATAATTATCATTACATTGTTGTTCAAATTACTAATTATTTATATTTAAACTAATATTTTTCATCTCTTTTGTTTTATAATCTAGAGTCATTAAATTAATTACTTTGATGGACTTTGCTTCGAGACAACGTTATTTATTTTTACTTGATTATTATCATTTCCATTACTGTTTATAACTTTTATTATTATTATGTATTAATTTATATATAAGGCACTTAGGGAGCTAAGGCTTCAGGGTCTAAAATTTTGATAAATAAATAAAAATAAATAAAATAAGTTCAAGTACGAGCATGTAGTAAACAGTACATGAAGCAAAGTGGAATTTAAAAGTAAAAGGCACTTGGAGATGTTCCTCAAGACGACGGAGTACAAACTGTTTGCTAAATATTCATCGGTACTTGGTAGAAACAGCCTCTACAACTTAATTCTTCCTATTCACATTTTTGGGGTACATGTTATAGCAAGTACATACGTTATATGTTATGGCGTAACAAGAACAACTTCCGTAGTACCACCTACTAAGAGAGCATGGGTGCATGTATGCATTAAGTGCATATATATATATATATATATATAGAAAAGGGAGTAAGTAAAGAAAATAAAATAAAAATAAAGGCGGAAAACAAGATGGATAAAGTAAAGTCGTTAGCAATATCATAATTTTGGTGTTAGTTTCTTGCAACCAGAAGAAAGACAAGACTTGGTGAACTTGTTGGTATAGTAACAAAAACGCTTAACGTATGTTGTACTCTACTGGGTAGTTTAAAAACCAAAGAGCTTTTCGAGTAATACTTAATCCCAATACTTTTTATTACTAAGATTATTAGAGCTAGCGGTTTTATTTCAGTCGTTGAATGCTTGAGTGTAGATATATTGCTTAGATCTGAAGCTTTTGCCGTATATTTATACTTTTTTGTTAAAATATTAAAAAGTCAAACTGAAATGGACGGCTGATAGCTGACGGTGGATGGTTGATGCGTATGAACCTGTTTTATGGATCATTATTTAAAGAATTGAACCATAACTGTAGCATAATAGCATTACTCTTACACTTTCAGGCTCAGGCGACGAGCTTTTATAATCGGCGTTATGAGTTGAGAAACGATAAATTATTTCGTAAAGTCGGTTTATGTATATTATTATACTCCGACAACATTATACTATATAGGCACATTCCCGCACGGTTGATGTGCATTTCGAGTTTAAATTTTGAGCTTTAGGGTGAACCGAGATACGACGAAACACCCCCGTGTTATATAGCTCAGTGAGTTCAATTTAGATTTAAATTTAACGCGATACTTTTTCCGCGTTCGTCACCCTTTTTGAAGCTTCGATGAACTTGATCTCTGTCTGCTGCGTTATAATTATTAAATTACAAGCGAATATCACCTCTTCAATCCGAAACTGTTTACTGTTAATTATCTCAAGATCTTAACAATAAACAGTTATTTAACTTTAAACGAAAAATAAACGAGTTATAATTTTCCATTTTTACTTTATATTTATTCAAAGTTATTCAGCCACGATTGGCCGGAAAAATGTCGAGTCCCTCCGGGATTAAAGGCGTGATATATTTTAACTGAACATCGTGTGTTGGATTTTATCATAAACAACCGGTGTTTCGCTTTTAAAATTATTTTTTCATTAAAACATTTATCTCGAATTATCTGATGCGATTAAAAAAAATTCATGTTTTTAAAATAGCGATACATTATTTATGAAAATAAATAAATAATTCTGAATTTAAATAACTAAACAGATTTTTCTGCATTTCAAGTTTAAAAAGGTATTTAAAAAAATTTCCTACTTTTAATATTAATTACAATTATTAACTAAGGATTATAAAATTATTCACTTGTAAAATAATCATGTAAAATTTGATCATCTTGAATAGAGTAAAAAATATCTTGAACTTTTTTTTTTTTTGATAAGTTAATTAAAAAATTTTTCTACTTGATTCAAAACAAAAAAATTATTTTATTGGCTCTAGATTTATTTTTTTAATTAAAGTTAATTTTTTTTATCAGTACCTACAGATGAAAAAAAAAAATTAACTTAAATAAAAAAAAAAAATTCTTGTACCAAAAAAATAATTTCGAAGAGTTTTATTGTTTTAAATCAAGACAAAAAATTCTTGAATCAAATAAAATTTACTTAAATCAAGAAGATGAAGTTCTTTAAAATTATTTATTTGATTCAAGTTAATTCTTTTTCTGTGAATAATAAAAAAAAATATATATATATATATATATATTTAACAATACATTAATACAATATTCGAGTAGCAGATAAGGTATGACGAATACCAAAAACCGTAGCTGTAAATAATATTGGGGTTTGGGGGTAGTTACACGGCGCCTCAGGGTCGATGTACCTCTCTCACGAGAGTTTGCGTTTTACGGATATTTCACGAGATATATCTCGAAATTATCCTGGATAGAAGTACTACGTAGCAGGGGATTGCTATCCGCAAGTTGCCTCAAGCTATTTCTTTTCCTTATATTATTCTACCTCTAGCTGTTCTCATCCTCACGGCAGCCCCATTTCACACCGTCTCCCTTATTCCACAACTTTTCTAGTCTTGCTCCGACGGAAACGAGACATATTCTTTCCCGCATCTTCGCGGGATTACCTCTACCAATTTTAAAATGTTTTATTTTTAATGTCTCACTCTTTACCCCGGCACAAAGACCTGACTTGCCGGTTTGTATAATACTATTTCCTTGCGCTTCTTTAAAATCCGATTCTCCATCTTTTTACTCAACATGCTATATATAATTCAGACGTTGATTTATAACTTTTCTTCGACAATTCATCTGACAACTTATTGTTCACAATTCCCGATCCATCTATACATTCATCCACGCACATCACATAATATACAATATATAATATATAACTCTGTTGTTACACAACATCAGTTAATATCTAGCCGATCGATTTTCATTTACAATTTTTTATTAATACACCCACTGCCATCATCGATATTGTAGTCGATATCAATTTATAACAACTTTGACGTTGTATTGAATTTAAAAATAATCAACAACAGTAATTACATTACATGTATCTACCATAAACTGTGTTTCTCTTACCCTCAAAAATTTTTTGATTAAAAATTTTATTTTTGACTTATTGATTAAAAATTAAATTTCATATTTTTTATTATTACAATTTCAATCTTTCTTCTTAATAATTAAAATCAATTGATCATATTTCTTAAAAATTAAATTTTGTATTTTTTATTTAATTATAATTTCAATTTTTCTTCTTAATAATTAAAATCAATTCATCATATTTCATTCTCTGAGTAGTATTTTTTTTTTAATAATTTTTTTAATCTATAAAAAAGAGCTAATTAAGTAATTTTATACTTTGACAAAGTTTCATATTTCATTAATTATTGTCAATAGTCGCTATCAATTTCACTGCGTCTTGTTTTTCACCGACAAGATTTTTTTCAAACATTTTATATAAAAAAAAATTACTTAGTGAAATTTATAATTAGAAAAAAAAATTTTCTCCAGACTGGAAGATAATGATGTGGTAATCGTCGGTAATAATCGAGAAACCTCGGCTTCTTAAAAACTTTCGTCAAACAAAGAAAAGCAAACTTTCTTCATACAACTTGGATAAATAATAAAAATTAAATTGAATAATATGTTTACTTTGTCAGTCTCTAGAGATACTTTTTTATCTGTAATTGTAAGATAAAATTTATCTGAGTTATATTTATCCAGTTAGTAATAAATCGTAAAGCAGTTAGAAAGTAATATAACGACGGCCCAGGTTTATCCAAAGTTAGGGTAGATAATTGACTTAGTAATATTGAGAATTAAATTTGTACATAAATACATGCCAAATGCCATCTAATGTCGGTTAGTAAAGTAGATATTTTACATTTATATTTTGAAATAGAGGAAATAAATGGTTTTGGTTTTAATATTTAGTAGAGTGTATAACCAAAATTTTGTATTTCTTATTTAAATAACATGGGTAAACTTTTGTAGGCATCTTTTGAATTTTATAAATCACCAAGGGAAAAGTGAACAGGAATGACCGGTTTATACATTTCTAGGGGATCAAATCTTATTTTATATGCAATAAAATTGTAAGCTGAATTTTGTATGAACATTTGGATGGTATACTAAAACGCCAAAGGCCGAGAAAATTTGATTTTATCTATGCGAAACATCTCGTTTTAAAATAATTATTTAAAGTAATTCGATCATAAATACAAAATTTTAAAAAGTTTTCGAAATTTGAAATATGGGTAATAGAATACGCATTATATTATATTAATAGCTATTGCATTGAAAGGATTTTAATAGAATACTATACTTAAAATAATCAAAAGAAATTTTGAAAATTTTGACTATGTGGTTTTTTTATAAATTATTAATAAACTGACTAGTTAAACAAAAATAAACATTACGGCTGCCCAATTTCAAAACACAGTAACTGACAATTTTATAATATAAAAAAACTTTTTTTTTTAAGTTTGCGCGCCAAATTGATAAAAAATTTTATTTATGAATAGAAAATGCTTGAATATAAATATTCTTAAGAAAAATTACTTGAAATTAAGGTCTAAAAATTATAAAAAATACAGCAGTACTAAAAAAAAATCAAGCATAAAAATTTTGCAGTTACTGTGTTTTAAAATTGGGCAGCCAAAAGGTAAAAAATAGCACAACTTATGTGTCCCCAGTGAACTACCTTAATTTATGTTGTTTCATTAATAAAAAATATTATTGAACATAAAAAAAACCATGAAAAGGCCAAATTTACTAAAAATCTTTTCAATGATCTCAAATTTGACTATTTTTTAATAAAAAAAAAAAAAAACTAGAAAAATTGCAAAAATTTACGTTTAAATATTAGTATGCAGTGCTCGATTTACAAGACAATATTTTTGTTATCTACAAAAATATTTTCCATGGAATTTTTATAAAAAAAAAAAAGCTGATATTTTTTAGGTAAGCTTACGTACAGCACATACCTTGAAATTCTTTCCGCGCTGCACTGACAGACGTTACTATATTGGCGACATGACCGAGGACTGTGGCAAAAAGCAACAAACCAAACAGTAGCTGCACGATGACAAACAAAAACTCGCTTTTGCTCCGTGGTCTGTAACATGAACGTCAATAAAAATACATGACTAACAGAATAAAATAGAAATAAAATTTGATGCTTATGGAATGGAGTAAAGGGATACGAGTTTAGTTGTAGAAGCTGGTCGTTAGTGAAAATAATGTAGACATATTTGTATTATTTGTAGGCAATGGGTACCTCGGCAAATCGCCTATTGTTGTCAAGGCGAGAGTACACCAGTAGTAACTTTGTAAGTACTGTTCCACAACATCTACCTCCTTCTCGTCATTGTATACCCAGTTTTTGCTCCCGAAACCGTGGTTCTTATAAAGAATATGATAGAGGCACCCGTTCCAGTGAAATATCACCAGTAAATAATGAATCAAGGATGTTGAACGAAATAAATTCGGATAATTGGTATGTCGCTCTGTACGATCCATGAACGCCCAGAATCTAATAACAAAAAAATATATTTTATTTTATAACAACATAACACTGAAATTATTTTTTAGATTTTTTCATAAATTTTTCTATCTAAAATTGAATGCAATAATAATAAATTTTATATTAAATTTCTCGGTGAGTATATATAAAATTTAGGTGCACCAGTTTTAAATTGTGAATGAACTTGAAGCAGAGAGTTAAGACCTTTAACTTAATTTAAAACAATAAAACGGATTTATTGAAACGTATTAAGCTTTTTATTTTAAAAAAGTTTATAGCATCAAAATGTTTTTCTTGGCAATTTTATTTTGTAGCATTGTTCTGGGATTTATCTCTTCAATTACGAACGAAAATAAAACAAAGCATATTGTTTTTTTTTTTTTTTTTTTTTTTTTTTTTTTTTTCGTCTTTATAAAGAATTTTTTTTATTCTAGTGAAATTAGCTGAACAAAAAATTCCGCTAAATGAGGATTGAGAGCTATCATTCATTGAATTCCAAATGGCATACGCTTCAACATAACTTGAAAAACAAATGGAATATATATTTTAAATTCTATCAGACACCGGGTACTCACAGTGAACTTTAAATGCTCGAGTTTTTGTTGTATATAAGTAATTAAAAGTTTAGCCCTCATCAGTAGCTAATTTTATATTTGTAAAACTGGGCTTTAAACTTTATTTTAAAAAAGTTACGTTGCATTCAAGTAATAATTAAAAATGTTATTTTATCAAATACGATGTAATTCTAAATTATTAAAAGCCAGAGTCTATTGTTCGTAAAACATCTATGAAAAAAGGTAAATTTATTTTTTAACAAGTAAATCAATAGATAAAAACTGGGTAAAAAGTTACCTATAAATTTTAACAAGCCTAAAACTTCGGAGTATACTGTTGAATCCTATAGATAAGTATAAAAAGTCGAGGGGTAGCAGGCACAGGCAGTCAATATAAAATGTTGTAGTGTTCATGTAGTGATTTCTTAATTTAGTAGCGTCGGTTTGCAGCACCCCGTCTTCGAGATAACCCGTACGAAAATGAAATACAATATCCACGAGATAAAGAAGATCTGAAAAGTAGTCGAGGCAAAACCACACTACCAGCGTTTCACCTGAAAAAAAAAAAAAAAATAACAGAGAAGAAATGATGATAAGTATCTTCAAATAAAAAGTTGGTTTGGTAAGATGTGAAGCCTTGTTGCTAGGCAACTATTGTTACAGAAGCGTTGCCTAGCAACGGTTGCTATGAAGATTTCTATGGGGTTTTTATTGAGGTTTCTATGGGATTGATATGAGGATTTTATGGGGAGGGGGTAGTAGTAAACATTATAAGGGTAGTAAGCGCTCGAGATTATTTTCATTAATTTGATAGTATTAATTTAATTTGTTATTAACTTCACTGATATGTTTACTTTTTTTTGTTTTTTACATATTTTGTATTATTAATTTTGTATTTAATAATTATATATCAGTGTTAGTGTACAAATTATTTGTGTGTAATTGCACGACTCATGATGCGAAGCATCAGAGAGTGCTTTACGATCGAAAAATTTGTTTTGCCTCGATTTCGCAAATAATTAATTACACGATTGGTAATCCACGTAGTCTAATTAATTTGCGCATCATTCGATAGATAATTTAATGGAGATTAATTCTGTCACTGGTAAAAATTTATTCAAGATAATAGAACCAGAAAAAAATATCAAAATAGTTAAAAGAAAATTCCTATCAACACAATTTTCCGTTTGAAACACGATAACTTGTGCGAAAATTCACCAATTCAATCAGTAGTTTTTTATTAGCTTGGCATCCACTTTGCGGAGATTATCATTGAAGATGATTATCTTATTTAGTGTTGATTAATTGTTATTAATGAAAAAAATACACTCAGTAAGCATGATCAGTTTAAAACACCGCACGATATTTAAAATGAAAAAATAAAAAAAAGTTATTGTATTTTAAAGTAATAAAAAAAATAGAAAACCAACAAAAATAGTAAATTGCAAAAATAATATTTAAAAAAATATTTTTTCAGAACATTAATTATTATTATTATTATTATTATTTCTTTTTTTAATTAATTCAGATAAAAAGTCAGACAAAAAAAAAGAATGAACTAAACTTAAAAGAACTTATAAAAATCTTTATGTAAATAAAAAAAAATATTTTTTCAGAATATTAATTATTTATTTTTGATTTATCGAACGAGAATTATGAGTCGTGCACTTTTGGATTTGCCAAACTTTCTTTTTTTTTAATGTGAATTTATTGCAGACATATTACCCACGCGATATATGCTAGTAAAGTATAAAAAGTTGATGATGAGATGAAGGAATGAAATGTCGGATTAGATAGCTCAGAAAGCTCCGAGATGATAAAGCTATTGAGCATGATTGCCGGCTTAGATGACTAACCGTTTATTTCCTGGAAGGCAAACCTATAGATGATGACCCAGAAGTTGTAGAGAAAAGCCAAAGAGACCACCATCGACCAGTAATAACATAATCGTCCCGCGGGATCAAAGACAAATGACCAATTAGGTGCGCCGGTTCTAAAACCTCGTTGGCCAGGTTGCCCTGGGTAGCCTCGGCTCCCTCTTTGTTGTTGTTGCTGTTGAGCCGTATATCTTCTGTAAAGTTTTAAGCGAAACTTTAATTTATATTCTTCAGAAGACTAACTCCTAACTCTTAATTCCCAACTCTTAACTCTTAACTATTTTCCACTGATTAGCTAATAAATATTTCTGTAAATTACCGCTAAGGTTACTGCTAAAAATACCAAGATAATTTATAAACAACTCACGTTTCAGTACCATTGCAGCTGCTGTTAACATTCAGATGATTCGTGGAGGCCAAACTGCGCAGGTGGGACGCGTCCCGCGACGAGCTCAGACTCACGACATTTGGAAATTTTAACTTACCCCGCAGCTGATCCTTTCTTCTTGACTTACGACTCAGATCTAGCTCACTCGCACCGCGATTTACGTACCCCCCGTGCAGGGAGTCTCGGGAGGAGCCAAAGTATCTCTGCGAAACAGAGTAAATCTACGAAATACGTTTTATTAGATGTTTAGTAAATTAAAAATATTATTTATGATTGAAATAATAATAATCTTTTTATTTAAGTTAGAAAAAATCAATATTTAATAAAACTTTAATAGCTCAACAAGTTTTTAGAGTTTTCATGCACAAAAATGACATTTTTCCATATAATAAATTTGATAGCAATTTTTACGATAACTTTTTTCATAAAATATATAGCCTGTTTTTATTAACCTCAAAGGACACATTGAAGGTTCACCATTCCAGATCATAAAATGCTTATCCAGAAAAAACTATTGAATATTTTAATATGAAACTTTAACGGGGATGTTCTGTGAAGTTTTTCTTCGAAAAAGAATTAAGTTCTTAAAGTTCTTAAGGTCGCACCCTCGGGTAGAGATTTACCGCTCAGAATTTGATGAAATTTGATATTTTTGTAAATTATAGTAAGACTACAAGCTCACTAAATTTTTTAAAAGCTCAAAAGAATCACTAAAAAAAAATTTTGAATTTTTAAAGATTGTCACTTGTAATTTTTTTAAATTTCTACATGTCCAATTTTTTTGTTTAATTTTTTTCGTTATAATTTAATTGCTACAAAAATTTAAAAAATTTTTAGATGTCTTTTAAATTCAGTATCATCTTCAAACTTTAATAAAAATTAAGAAAATGAGAGTAAATAACATATCAAATATTTTTTACAATAAAAAGTAAAGATTAGGACCATATAGTTTAACTAATTAATTAGAAAACTTTTAAAAGTTATCACTGTCTCTCTTTCTCCAATACTACTTTGCATAGGAAAACCAATTACGTAAATCAAATAATGATCTTGAAGTTAACAGACATCTGTAATTTTTTTTTCATTTTATTAGCAATTAAATTACTAAGAAAAAATTTTAACAAAAAAATTCCACATCTAGAAATTAAAAAAAAAAATTAAAAGTACAAACTTTTTAAAAATACATCAAAAAAAGAAAAATATAAGGGAAAAATTACATTATAAATAATAATATGTCACTTCAAGTTTAAAACTAGAAAAATTTCAGTTCGAAAAAACATTTTTAAAATTAAAACTTTAAATGTTAACTTTCACAGTTTTAATTTCAATATTTAAATTTTTATAAAATCTGTAAAAATTACAATTTGAAACTGTAATTTATTCATTTTTTTTATATGAAGCGTCACGTTAAATTGTAAAATAAATTTTTCCATGTAATTTTTTTTATAATTAATTTTTTACAAAAAAAAAATGTCTGCTGATTTCAGTATCATAATTAAATAAGGCTCTGATGTATAAATAATTAGACACTTGAGATATCTGTGATACTACCTAAGAAAAAAAAGCAAATTTTTATAACCAAAAAAACAAACCTGCTGCTCCTGATGTCGGCCTCTAGAATCCTTTGACTGTTGATGCTGCTGGTAATGATGTTGATTGTAATACCGCTGATTGGAAGATCTCCCGACCAGCCGATCGAACCCAGTGTCGAACAAGCTCTGCTTGGACCTCGATACCGTGCTCTCAACACTCTTGGTGTCTTCCTCACCCCTGAGTCTGATGTCCGGTGTTCGGGCATTATTCCCGGTCCGCTTATCGCCGTCTCCATAGCCGCCGATCAGACCCGGATAACTGCCGGTCGATGCTTGACCTAAGAGACATTTACAGCAATGATAATTTGTGTCGGTATTCTGAGGAAGGTGTCCAGCCGGATATCGAACGGTAATCGCCCAGAAGATTCGGCCCAATTTGCCTAAACACCCCACTGAATTTACTTTGCATTGATTTACTGTTCTAGCACAACCATCCAGTCTATATAATCCAATTTGTCAATCTGCTTCTGGTGATCTCTCCCTACAATACCTCCGCATAAACTGTAACTGGTTACTATTAACTACAAACTATAAACTCTTGATATCCGTCATCATTCATTTACAGAGGCGCATTAAAAAAAGTTTAAAAATATTTCCAACGTTCGGCTTACTAGTTCCAGCTTTATTTTATTTTATTTAACGAGGAAATCCTCGGGGTTGATGCGAGTGAAATCAAGCCGATCGCTGGACCGATATAACACCAAAATTTTTAGGACCGTACTATATTATACTAGTTACTGATTCTGTATAAAATAACGTTCGATAACTGGCAAGTGGCCAATCGCATTGAACAATCTCACTGTGGGATCCATCGATAAAGACAAGCCTATATTTTTGGGCACCAGTCCAGCTTGCAACCTGCACAGTACATAGTACAAACTCAGTAGTATGGTATTGACTTTGTTATATCTCTAGCTGGTGAATATACTGATGCCACTGCCGGCGGACCAAAGTTAAACCATCGATCTGCAGTATACGGAATGCATTTAGCATTTATGCCAGTAGAGTTTAATTTACCAAACAAATAAGACCGGCGACTCTAGCTCTGATAAGATAAGCTCTGCCAGTATATAAATTTATATTATTATATTAGATGTGGACTTTGGAGAACTGACCTATGAGTGTAATTTTTTGGAAGAATTTGGAATTCTAAGGAACTGTTATAGCAAATTTAAAACGTTTAGTTGGCAAAAATTTGTTTTAATTTGAAGAAATAAACTACTTTGTTTGTTTCATTATTTGATAATCTAAAAAATATGTCCTTTAAGGTGATTTATGGAAAATAACGATTGAATTTATAAGCAGAAAATATAAAATGGGTACTTGGCGCAAGTTACTACCGTGTCACAGGATTTTAGATTATTTAGTGCTTTTACATAAATGTAATACTAAATTTTATATTTTTTTATTATTTTTATCATGAAAAAAAGAAATCTTTTAAGGATTGGGCAAAAAAAAAAATTTAAGAAAGTTTTGAATTTTAAAGTATAGATAAATAAATAATTCAATTAACATATTGAATCTAACAGACATCTAATAATTTTTAGGATTATTTACTATCAAATTATGATACCGAAAACTTTAAAAAAAAATTCTAATCTTTCGAAATTAAAATAATCTACAAGTGCAATTTTAAAAAAGTTTTTAGTAATAATTTATTTTTTAAATAAAATAAAAAAATTGTCAGATGACATTTTTACACATGTGGTATAGAAGAAGAATAAAATGGTGAATTATTATTTTTATGTATCGAAGAAATTTAAAAAAGCGTTCTCATCTATTACAGTTTCACGAATTTTTTCTAAACTAAGATAAATATTAGAAAAAACGCTCTACTTAATATATTATTTAATTATGTATTTTCTAGCAGATAATTTTCTTTAAATTTTAATTTTTACACTCTTGATGAGTGCAAAAAGAGAAAAAAATAGGAACCGTTCTTGAGAACTTTATAAAAAATTAATATTTAGTAGAATAATATATAGACAATTACCCTATAAAAATTTAGAAATTCTCTATGTAATAACTTGTAAAAGAAGCGGCGCTAGTAAGTGAGAAAGAAACCAATAGCATAAACTAAACCCTGAGAAAGAACTACCTTAAATTAAAATTTAATCTTCATAGAATTTAAAACCTAAAGGAATACAATAGGATTTCTATTTGATTCTCTAGATAAATGGGCTCGAAACTTTTTAATTGATTGTATGTATATATTTCGTGGTAACAATAGAACTTTTTCATATTCAAGATAATGGAATTATAACAGAGCCTTATGATTCTATGGATGTTATTCGCGATGAACTACCATGTGCGTGCGGCATTGTGATATAATAACTGCTTTGAATTTTTGAGTATCAATTTATCAAAATTTACTCTAACAATAAGTAAGAATTTAAAATTCAAAAGAGTGTTCATTAGTTGAAGTACAAAAAACAAATTTATTTTTGAATATAAATAATGAGGAATTTACGAAAATAACCTTTTCACTCAAATTCAGGAAATTATCCCTTTGATTTAGAAGATAAATTATTTCAAAGGTTTTCATGTGAATAACATACAGAAATGTCGAGTATAAACTTGAATTAAGCTTTCAAAGACAATAAAAAAAGAATGTAAAGAGTTTTTAAATCTAGATTTATTTTATTTTTATGAAGTAAACTCATTAAAAACGTAGCCAACGTTATTATTTAACAAAAAATGGTCAAATAAACGGAAATGTAAATTTATTTAGAAACTGCGGTCTGATGAAAAAAATTTTTTTTTAAATAAACAGCTGGCGGCGATTTAAATTAAAGAATTTAAGTTATAAAGTTCAGCCACTGTAAATTTTTTTTAATAAAAAAAATTCTTGGGTCTGACCGAAGTAACTGATGTTTCCCTCGTGCTTCGACATAATATCGGACTGAACCGCTACCTTACTCCTGACCTTAACATATTACACTGATTTTTCTTACTTTAAATGTTGATATTTTAAGAATAAGCTATATAAAAAAATTAAATTTTTTTTTTTGTTAAATTTAATATTAAATAATTAATATCTAATTCAAAAATTAAAAATTTTGTATTTTGCAAATTGATAAAATTTAAAAAAAAAAAATGTTTTTTTTCTCTGTAATTTGACTATTAAATTTTTTTTAATTATCGTTTAACATCAGTAATTTTAATAAACAATTAATAAAAAAATTTTTTAACTATTATAAAAAAAAAATTGCTAATATTTAATAAATTAATAAATTTTCTCAATAAATTTATCAGCAGTAAATAAAATAATTTCATGAAAGTTTTGACTAACATTAAACTGAAATAATAATAAAGCTAAACTACTAACAAAATAGATTAAAGGTAAATTCTAATCCAAAGTACACTAAAATGTTTTATATACGTCCACCGATACAGATATAATGTATCTATATATACAACTAGATAAATACAAAGTAGAGAGCAACTTTCAATACTCTCATCTCGGTTTAGACAGAATCGAGTTGTCGTTTAATTGGATCAGCCTCTGTCACCCGGATGCGCCGAGAAGCAGAACGATGTTTCCAGTTTAGTCACCGGGGTTCAACTAAGGAAATTCAGTTAAATACAAAATGTTGCTTTTGCGCTTGATGATTATTTGTTACGGTAACTAAACTCGATAAGCATAACCAAACGTTAATTTACAATCTACATAAAAATTAACATTTGAATTAAAACAATTGTTGCAATAATAATACAGTATAAATAATAAACCCACAAGAGAAACACAGTACCAAAAATAAATAATAAAGTGACTCACCAGCAGCGGTAGCAGAACTTCGCGCGATGGAAGATATCGCGGATGCTGGAGCAACAGGAGTCGAAATAGCCGCTGGCGGCACCGTTGTCGCAATACTGTACAACGTTTGTCCACTCCCGTATTTGTTCCCAGAGTAATGACAGGGCGTAGTTGGGGTCGCAGCACCCCCGACCACCGATATCTCGTCAAGCTCGTGACCGCTGTCGTAATAACAGAGCCGTGTGGCACTGGTGCTTCCAGCTCCAGAATTGTCAACACCACGGACAACAAAACAGTCGTTTTTACCAAGGTGTCCTCCTGGTGTTTGTCCGCTGGCACTACCACCGTTACGGCCCCTCAGCGACTGCACCAGCCGCTTGGCGCCCGAAGACATTCCACGGAGGTAATCCAGCCTTCCGATCGTCGTCGGCGCAGCCGCCAATGTAGCCGCGTCTCTCCACGTGTGATTATTCTCTGACAAATTACTATTATTTAAATAATTACACTTTACCTTCTCGATATTATTGTTATAGTAATAATAATAATAATAATCATCATCATCATCATCATCATCATTATATACCAATGATAATAATAATTTAGCGACGGAACAACGGCCGACGGAAGCAGCTTGCTCGAGTGCCGCTTCCTCACTGCAATCCTCCCAAAAACCCATTCATTTCATCATAATCGTAATTTATAATTCCAAGTGTAATTACTATTATTATTTTAATGAGTCATATTTCTTGGTTGCGTCTTCAGTTACCAATAATTAAGTATTATCAATTAATAAAGTTGAAGCTTGAACAAGTCTGTGGTTGTTGAGATAATACAATAATTTTGGCCATTTAAACCCTGTCTTTTGACGCGAACATGTCCAACCAGGATTGGACAATGCGCGCGACCGGATGTCACCGCACGAGCCACAACTTGCCCTCAATCATTTTACGTGTCAGCGCTTCACGAATGGTTATACCTGGTGCACCAGCTTTTCCTTCTATATTTTTCCTTCTTGGTTTTTTTTTTGTAAATGTGACCACTGGTGCCACCACCACTACAACTTGTTTGACAAAAAATAATATTTTATCCAGTTCAACCACCCGGCCGCTTCCTCTTCTTCCTCCTTCCACGTTCCCGTCCACTTACACCTCTTCTTCGTCGGCTTCTGCCTTTGTCGCGAACAACTCCCTCAAGCAACAAGTGTCTCTGATCTACGACCAACTCATTTCCCATGCGTTGTGATGCTAGGGTATCCGCGGTGGTTTGATCTTCTCCGCCTTAAAATCACCGATGACAACCCTCTACCTGAAAAATAATTATATTTATTTATTTTACTTCTGGTTAATATTCTATATAGAGGTGTATTTATATTTGTATATAATTACCCCCATGAAAAAAAAAAAAAAATATATCTCGTAATATATAAAAAATATATTAAAAATATGTATAGTAAATATATTTTTTATGTATTTTGACATATATTTTTTTTTCATGGGGGTATTTTATTTATTTATTTATTCATAGTAAATGCCAAGGCACAGTCGGAATGGCAAAGTATTTAAATTACATTTGAAATGTGTATGAATATATAAGTATGCATCAAATTATTACAATAATTACTTAAAATTATATAAAGATACAAAATATAATTAATAAGGTACAAAAATATATTCAGCCGAATAATTAATTATAATATTTGGATATAAATTTTGGTTTATGATTATGAATTTTGAGATTTTTTTAATTTTATTTGGTATTATGAGATTTATTAGTATGATTTAGATAATAAAATTTAGTTAATAAGATGTAAACAAGGCCAATTATAATAAAAATACGTTTTTAAAACCCTTGAATTAGAATGATTTAAAGTTAAGCTATATCGTAAACTTATAAATTCATTAACTAAGTAGTGTACAATGTATAAAGAAGTATAACATAAAATAATTTTATAAATTACCACTTATCGGCAATTAAAGTATAATAGATCTAATCCACCTCACAATATGCTTTCTTAATCTTCTATTATAATTAAGAGCTTTCAGATTATTGGGAAGTAGATTGAAGTATTTTATTGCAATATAAAGTGAATTTTTAGTAGTGTTCTATTAATTTTTGGTAGAGTTAACTGTCTGGACCGTGTATTAACCATTCTCTCAGAGTACAATGTTTTACTTTCAGAAAAATAATAAGTTAAAGCTTGAACAATGATTGTTTAATTTTCAGTGGTACTAACAGATCATCTACAATTTTCATTTTTCTCATATGTTAATAAAAATTTTATTTTAACTTTAATAATTATCAGACTAATTGGTACTTTAAATTATAAAATTGAGAGCAATTGCTTTGGCTAGCAATTTCCTTGGCTTTAAAAAAAGAAAGCCATCTAGCAACCGGAAAAAAAAATTTATACTTTTTATAAATATATAAACCTATTAAATTATTAAACTATAAGTAAGATTAAAAATAAAAAAAAAATTAAGAGTTTGAAATTTATACAAAAACTTGATCCGTTCTTAAGAATTTAAAAGTTATGCAAAAAAATGGTATTGAAAATAATTCTGTTGTCTTTGAAAACTGAAAATGAGTATCACTCATAAAATACTTAATGAACTTGACTCATCTTTGAACTTTAAGAAGATAAATACTTAAAAAAGAAAAAGTCAATACTATATCTACTGGGAGTTTATGTTTTTAAATAGTTCCTATTATATATATTTATTTCTGTGTATTTAAAAAGTGAAATAGATATGATATTGTGGTAGCATTCTTTACACATAATACAAGTCAGCTAAATAACTTTAGGTTTTCATTAAATACACAGAAACTGTTGTAAAACAAAAAAGTAAAAAATAAAACTCTTTAAACTAGCTTTTATGCTCTTTTACAAAAATGGTTTGTTTCATTTCAGAATTATTTGTAGGTTAAAAGGTTGTGTAGTTAGAAATGTGAAAAATAGACATTTAAAAAAACTTTTTCAAACTGTTACATGATCTTTGTAACTCGATACTGTACTGAAAGAAATTCCATAAATTTTTCTAGCTGTAAAGGTTTAATATTTTAGTGAAAATAATTTTCATTATGAGATAAAAAAAAAAAAAGCTTTGTGAAACTGATATTCCACAATTTCCATAAATAGGTGAAAAATATTTAAAAATCATTTTTCCGGGTATAGATTTGGAAATTTTTTTCTTGTTAAACCAATACGCTCTGTTAGCTTGTTTATTCAGCTTCGATGTGTATTTTTTTATTTTCTCTGCGTCTATTTTTCGGTTAGATATCCGACTTTGAATGAGAAAGGATCCTTTTGTCTTTGATCATTGATATCACAGTAACCAATGCTCGTATAGTAAATTAGAGGACTCTTTTAAACATAAATAAATGCTATACAAGGTCTTTTTATATTTTTTTTAGGAAAAAAAAACTTTTTTCCTTGACATTTATTAGAAAATATTTAGTTAAAAATTCTCTTTATAAAAATCATCATTTTTGAAATTTTAAAAATTATTATTTATTTATTTATTTATATACCTATACGCTAATTGGTTTTATATACTTTGGTAATATAAAATTATGAGAGAAATTAATATAAAAAATTATAACAGAAGAAAAATTGATATACAAAGAAAAAGTATTTACGAAAATTATGTTACAAGATTATTATGAAGAGAACCACTTTATAATTATGATAGAATTTAAAAATTATATTTAGAATAATTATAAAAAATTCTCTTTTGATTCTTCACTGATAAAAAAAATTATTTTTTCAACTGTATAAGGTAAATAAACAAAGACATTTAAGAATTTAAGAATTAAAATATATCGACGGTCTAATTAGCAATTTGTCTAACTCCTTATTTTTTAGAGAGTGATTTTCTAAAATTTTTATGTAGTAATAATCCAATTATAAATTATTTGAATGATTCAAACCTAAATATTATATCTTTATTAGACATTAATGATATTAAATAATTTTTTCAAGTGTTAATAAATTTTTAATTAATTGTTATTTTTTTCGTACAAATAGAAGATTTTCTAAAATTTAGTTAGACAATTTGCTAATTAGAACGTCGATATGTTATGTAGACAATAAAAGAGAGATGTTAATAATGTGAGGAGCTGATTTTCAAAAGGGTATCTTTTCAGATTTTAAAAAACCAATTTTCTGAGCTTTTAAATATTAATTACTTCTATAATTATAAATGAAAATCGAATTGCAGCTTCATAACCGATAGCACTTTATAGCTAAATTAAAAAAAGTTTTTTGTCTTGATTAATCAAAAATGAAAAGATATCCTTTTGAAACTCAGCTCCTCATGTATGTTTCTACCAAGTTCATTTTTAGGCCGTCAGGCGGAAATAAATAAATTTAAAAAAAAACTGTATTAGGTAAAAGACCGCATTATTGGCACCTATCAGCCCCTATTAATGGTACTTTTTCTTTCAATCAAAAAAATGTTCTAATTGGAATAAAAATTTTGATCTAAAGGTCTTAAAGAGTAGAAATAATATATTGATAATAGAAATTAATGATTTAATCAATTGAATAAGTACCAAAATCAAAAAAAGTGTCAGTAAATTTTTGAGTCCAAAATTCTTTATCTAGAATCAAGTTAATTTTTCCATAATTGAATAGTTCAGACCTAGATCATCAATGAAGTTAAAACTTAATTTCACTTTCAGAATCCCAAGTTTTTCCGAGTTTGGTCGACCAAGTTATTTTCCAACTTCACCATGACAGATAGGTTCATCATTAAGGCTTTTTGTTCCTTTTTTTTTTTTTAATAAAACCAATAGAACAAACGAATAACCATAAAAACCGGTATCCGTATTTTGAACGGTTATTTATCGTCATGCAGACTCGTAGAAAATTAGGTTTAACAAAAGGTTGTCAAGGGGCCAAATGAAAAATAGTCTCTGTCACGGAGGATCGTCGCCTTCATTCATCTGCCCTCCTCTCTCTAGCACAATCTCTACCCTGGCGATATTTATACGTTGATATTCCTATACCTATACCTAAAACGGTAGAAAAGTTTGTACTCGTGTATCCGCGTGATCCCTTGGGTCACATCCTAGTCATCGTAGTTTGTAGTCGCGTGCGTATAAAATGGTCGCAGAGCAACTAAACGCAAAGAGCCCTTACTCTTACCCTTACACGTTATTCAACGGTCTCTTTCTGTTCTCTGTTCTCCACTCATACTCGGTATAGTATTCTATGCTCAGAGGGTAGCTCGACCGCGCCACTACACCGGGAAAAGCCACCCAGCAGCATAGCTCTCCGGTTACCATGGAGACTGAAACGACGTCCCGGTCCGAACTCCCCGCCACCCATTTTCCTCGTGCTGGTGTACTATGCTAGTGTGTAGTATTATAGAATAGAGTTGAGCTCACGGCGATTGTATTTTCCAGCACACTCTTCTCTTCTCTTCTCTTTCTTCATAGTATGGTTAGGTATATCCACACCGCTGATATTTTTCTATTCTGTCATCTCTTTGAGACATCCATCATTCTGAAAACTCGTTACTCGGTCGCCTAGCAAGCACAGGTACA